GTATAAAGAAACATAGCAATACATAAATAAGATAAAAATAAAACAAAACTTGGTAACTATGAAGGAGGAAAGGAGATACGAACAAGGTAGAACTGGGATCCCCTGACATAAACACAATTACTTTAATTTTTGGATCATTTGAAGATAATAGCTAGCTGAGTCCTGTAGGAAAGAAAACTAGTTTAACTTTTTATTTTAAAGCTGAATTTAAAACACAATCCACGATATAAAAATAAGAAGACTGAAATATCTGCAATCAATTGTTCTGTCCTTTTTGGACTGTGAACCAAAAAATCCTTACTGCATGTCTTACTAGCCATGCTTAGCTCCATCCCTGCAAACTGCAGCCCTACCACAGCCAAAGACTTCCAAATGCTATGTTATCAGTCATGAAAACCACGGGACCTTACTTAGCACTGAAAAGGACTTCACAGTCATCCAACCCAGCCTCGGCTGGGGAAAGAGCATGGATGAGCTGGTGCAGAGCAAACACTACTTGTGAACAGACAAGACAGAGCTCCAAGTGCGGCTGCTTCTTCCCCTCACCTGATGACTATCATGGCTATTTCCTTCCTGACAATGTATATATGCTGAGTTGTCTAGAACCAATCTGGTGGCCCCGGGAACTTTAATCATGCATTAGCTGATATCATAATCTAAGAAAAGATTAAAATTTCAGGAAGGGTAATTATTTTGCCAAAGCTTCATTCATAGAAAATGGGTTTGGAAAAGTGTTTTCCCTATGATTCTTTGTTTAAATTCAGCTGCCTACATCAAAGAAGAAAGTGGCTGGTTCGAATACATTTGTCCTCAATAAAATAATGCAACAGGGCAATGATTTGGTTAAGTCAGCAAATAATGTTACCCACTGTCCTTAATCAAAGGATGAGTGATATTCATTATCAACCAAACAAACACTGCTTCTTTCCTTACATCTATTCTTGAGATATATATTGCAGACCTAATTAGATACTTTTCCCCTTTAATTTCAATAAGTTGAAGGTTAACTTTTTAAAGAAAAGAGAACTCAATAAATATTTTCATTTCTTTGCATCTTTAATAAATACCTAGAAAAATAGTATAGGTACTCATTTAGGTAAAATAACTACTGTGTACATAAAACTTGACATATCCTAATGAAAACAGGACTAACCGTTTTCTCTACTGCAAACTGGCAACTGTACTTTAAGTATTTTTAAGCTCTGCTCCGGTTTCATCTGGGTTCAGCATGTTATACTTAATATTGGGCATTAAAGCCTGGAGCAGTAAAGCATGGAGCCAGCTGTCCAGTTCTTCTCTCTCTCACGGGTGATGGGTGAAGAGTGTGGGCTCTCCAGGTCCAATGCCTCCACCAGATCCTAATTGTGATCTGGGAGTCTTTCAACCTCTTTGTGCCTCAGCGCTTCAGTCTGTAAAACAAGGACTATAATAGCACCTACAGCAAAGCTGCTGAGTAGTAATTAAAAGAATCCATGTAAATTGTTCATCTAGTTGCCTGCCTTAATCACTGCTCAATAAAAATACCTATTTTTACTTTTCTCTTGTATGTGCCTCACACTCCTGCTCAGCTGGACTGCTTGCCGCCCTTTGTCTCTCTAAGCTGTGTTCTTATTGTTCTGAGTCTAGGCCCCTGTCCTGCTTGTTCCCTGGCCTGATGAAATCCTCTTTCCTTCCAAGGGCTCCTCATCCTGATCCATCTGATCAATCCTGACTTGGCCCCATTGGTTTGCACCTCCATTGCTCTTCATTGGCAATTCTTTTATTATACTCATTATATTAGACCTAACTTCCATTACAGTAACTTATGACCTTTTCTCCTCCATGGTTAAGGAGTGTCTTACCAGCCTATTTATTCTCTACAGTATTTAATAATCTTCAAAGAGTGGTTGTTCAATAAGCATTTACTGGATTTGAAGCAGTTACGCTTACTTGTGAAAGTAAGCATAATACATCCTACTACCTCTAAGAGCAGCTCTCTCATAGGATACTTACCAAGATTAAATGAGATAATCTATGTAAAAGGCTACTAACAAGTTATCATTTTATCATTATCAATCACAGCTACTATTTCTTCAATGTTCACCACATCTGGCACTGTACTAAGTGCTTCATACGTGTGAATTCAAACAGGGCCTGGCCCGACGACCTCACATTCTCCTCGCACAGAGTAGATGAGATCAAGGTGTTTTTTAAATGACTGATGAAGAAAAACAACAAATCCAAAAGTAACTGAGAGTTGGCTTGAATAGACATGAAATTCCTGATATTTCACAATATAGCTCTGAGGATAAAAAAAAAATTCAAGATACACAAAAGTATATGAAAAGTTGCAAATCTTTAAAAAACAAAAGGTAGTATTAGGCAAACCGGTATCCAGTGCTCAGGACTGCTAAGGTAAAATGGCCTTGGGAACTGCTCAAAGTCTCAATCCTGCCAAGTATAAAAAAGGCCAATAACCGGAACCCACCACACAGGGTCCTAAGGACGAAATCAGATGATGCCGGTGAAGGGCTTAGAACCATGTAAGTAAACATATATTCAGGTATTTGCTTTCATCATAAGAGATACTCTAAGTTGTCTAATTAAGTGAAGACCTAGGATGATGATGGATAAACTAAATCCAGACTGGAACCAAATTTTCGGAGTCACAACCTGTTCTAAATTCTTGGCAGTGTGAAATCATTGGCAGGTCAGTTTCATTTTCTTACTGCCCATTATATGAGAATGGAGGTGGACATCAGTACATAGTGAAGGGCCCAGAAAGTCTTCAAGAAGGAGAATGTGAGAGCTTGAGTAAATCACAAGGTGTATGTTCATTTCTAAAACTTCAGGAATTAAAATGCCTATGTCAGTTCCAACATACATATCAGAGTCTAGACCAGGGGTGGGCAAACTTTTTGACTCGAGGGCCACAATGGGTTCTTAAACTGGACCGGAGGGCCGGAACAAAAGCATGGATGGAGTGTTTGTGTGAGCTAATACATGTTAACACTGCTGCTGGTGAAGGAGCGGAGGGGAGAGCAAGAGAACCCTCCGCTCTTTCGGCTCCGCAGGCCGGATAGAACAGCCGAAGGGGCCGGATCCGGCCCACGGGCCGTAGTTTGCCCACGGCTGGTCTAGACAAATAAAAACAAATTTTTATATTTCTGTGAAATGCTTTCTTTCATATTTTATAGATACAATTTTCATTTGTTCTTCTGTTCATTTCAGCTTTTAAAAGTGGTAAAATGAGAAATTGAGGCACCAAAGTTCTGAAAGGCACAATACCACAATATACCAAACAAATAGTTTTCTCCTTCCAAGCATAATTATGTAAGCCGTTTAGAAAAAACATTAAAGGAATCACTTAAATAAAATTTAAAAGGAGATTTAGAATTACCTTTTAGTGAGTCCAGTTTCTCGGTATTACACCATGAATCTTTTCAAATGCAAAGATGTACAAAGCATGACATTTTAAGAAGTGATGACATAGATGGAAACCCAAAGTGCTTTGCAATGACTCCAATGCATAATCTACTGCACTTATAAGCATTTGTTTTAAAATCTGTATTTGTAAAGGTGCCCAAATAACCTGTTTCTCAAAATGATTCCAAGGCGTTAATGAGATTTCCTACCCAAAAAAATGACTCCCCAGACAAAATGCCTAAGTATGTGTCTGTTTTTTAACAGTATAATTCTGGCATTGAAAGCTATGAAGATATAAATGAAATGACAGAGGCTAAGTGGAGATGCCCCTTGGTCCAGCTAAATTGCTGCTTGTATTAAATAGCATGTTTTAAATTCCTAGACTCCACTACTTAGTAAAATTTTCAAAATAAAACTGGAAGACTCACTTAAATTACCAAATTTTAATTATGCCAGAAAGGCATTAAAGAAAACAACTAACACATATTATTACCAATAATTTATGAAGTAAAGTATATTTTAATACCCCTCCACCAGGATTAAGAAGTTCATAATTTCAGAATGGATAGTTTGTGAATGAAATAAATTTAGCTTTAAATTAAACTCATTATAGTGTTATCTTTCCTGTATTGATGGTACTAAAGAGTGCTCATCACAAATCAGCCCCACCTCTAGTCCAACATTTGTAATCACAAAGAGAGGCATAAGTGCCAGAGAACTCATAAAATTTATACAAGTGGGGCACCCATTTTTTACTTAATGTGGTTAAAACAAAGGGAAAATGGCAATAAATACCTCCTTTATATAATACTAGAGGCCCAATGCACGAATCTGTGCATGGGTGGGATCCCTCGGCCTGGTCGGTGATAGGGCCCCATGGGGGCTGTGGGAGGTTGGCTGGAGGGAGGGACCGAGGGAGGCTGGCTGTGGGAGCGCACTGACCACCAGGGGGCAGCTCCTGCGTTGAGCGTCTGCCCCCTGGTGGTCAGTGCACGTCAAAGCGACCGGTCATTCAGTCGTTCTATCGCTTAGGCTTTTATATATATAGATAATCTGTCCTAATGTAGAATTTAGAAAGTTTCAAGTGTGTTGTACCAGCTAACAGTACAGGCTTTGAACTTATTAACTGTGTGAACTTGAACTTACTACTTAATCTCTGTGCCTCAGATTCCTTGTCTCTAAAACGGATAGTAACGGTCCCATTCTCATAGGGTTGGGAGAGTAAATGGGATAACATATTTAATTTACTTAAAATAGAGCCTGGTGAATGGGTTCATTAGTGTTAGTTATCATTATTTTACTGTTATTTCTACTACTAGAGTACTTCAAAAATCCACCACATTTGTGGAAGATTACCAAGAGTTGCACAGAGTTCAAATATCATATCCATCAATGCTGACATGGAGAATTTCATCAGATGAGAAATGTTCAGAGTTCAGAAAGCCAAGAAAAAAGAAAATGAGTAATTGCAAAGAAAATACTCTTCACAATAAATGGCATCAGTTTTCCTTGTCAAAAAAAGAACTATGAAGGTCTATGCTCTGGAAGCCTAAAGGAAACCTGAGCCTGAAGAATGTTCTCCAAGCCACACTCACCCCTTGTTCATCCAGTTTCATGAGCTGCTCTGTGACTTTGGGAGTGTTGAAGGCCAGCCGCAGGCACTGGATATTGAGCTCCGGGATCACGTGCTCCAGCACTTCTTTCAGGGGCAGCCCCCGGGCTGTCGAGTGCTTTGCTGTTGAGGGTATGGCATCCTCCAGGACCGAACCTCTCAGTGTCATGAGCTGAAAGAGAGGGCCGCTTCTGTTAACAACTTCCAGAAAGGAGAGAGTCCTCGTAAGTTCCTGGGCTTAAAAACATGCACATGCCATAAGATTTTATTCATGAACACACTGTCATGCTTATAAATACATGCAAGTTTTTAAAAATGTATGTTAAGCAAGGATGCTTTCTACTAAAATGAAAGAGAAATCTGTTTGTATTCCTATCATCTTGATGCTATTTACTAAAACCAACTGGACTGGCATGACCATGTTCTTTTTTTTATAATTGATTTTTTATTATGTTTTAATTGATGTTTTGAGAGAGAGAGAAGAGGGGGGGAGAGGGAAAGGGCAGGAAAGGGGGGAGAGAGAGAGAGAGAGAGATAGAGATAGAGAGATAGAGATAGAGATAGAGATAGAGATATATATAGAGAGAGAGAGAGAGAGAAACATTAATGTGAAAAACATCAATTGGTTTCCTCCCATATGTACCCCAACTGGGAATTGAACTGCAACCTGGGTTTGTGCCATGACTAAGAATTGAACCAGCAACCTTTTGATGCATGGGACAACACTCAACCAACTGAGCCACACTGGCCATGGCATCATGTTCTTTATTCTTGATGTATTTATTAACATGAGAAATTAATAGCATGAGAAGTCCCTACACGAAAACTAAGTCTTACTTTATTACATACTAGAGACTGGTGCACAAATTCGTGCACTGGTGGTGGTGGTGGGGGGGGGTCCGGCTGGTCCTGCCCCAATTGGGGCTGATCTGGGTGGGCCTGCCAGGGGAAGGGAACAGCAGCAGGTTGGCTGGCTGGCCCCACTACCAATCGGGGTGGAGGGGGCTGATCGGGGACAGGGCAAGCCAGGAGGAGGGGCCACGGCAGGTTGGCTGGCCAGCCCCAGCCCCCGCAGTGCACGTCATAGCGACTGGTCATTCCAATCACTTAGGGTTTTATATATAGAGATGCCTGTCTCACAAAGTCAGGAGCTATTGCCTGAAACTGACATCTAGAGCATTTCTATCAAAGTTCTTTTGTTAGTTTATTTCTGTGAAGAGGCTCATAAAGATATTACAATGAATCCACATTTAAGGATTATTTTTATTGGATAGAAAAAATTACACAAAAGCTAGTGACAAATAAGCATCAGAAAGGGGAAGGAAGGGATAAAGGGAGGCAGGAAAGAAGGAAAAGAGAAAGGGAAGGTAGAGGGAGGGAAGGAGGAAGAAAGAGAAGGAGGGAGGGCGGTGGGGGATCGAAAGTACTACTTTGGGTATTACGTGTGTAGTAAAGAACAATTCAGATAAAAGTTCCATCCTCACTGAGACAGAAAAAGAAAAAAATAAGAACAATATGTGAGACAGTGTTAAATTTTCATGAAAAAATAAAACCTGAAATTGGATATGAAATTTTAGATGAAGCCCCCTGTGATTTATGAGCAAAGGCCAGAAGGAAATGAGAGCGCTCTGGCCAACAGCATGCCTGGAGAAGACTATCACACCGCAGACGAATAGAGAGCATCCAAGACCCATGGTGGAGGTGCCCTGAGACTGCCCCAGAGGGGGAGGCCAGTGTGGCCAGGACAGACTAATGAGGGGAGTCGGGCATGAGGTCCTGAGCAGATGTGCCCATCTCCTAGGCTACTAAGGAGACTGGCTTGTACTCAGAGGCAGATGAGAAACCAGTCTAGGACTCTGAACTGAGGATTGACAATATCTGGATTACATTTCAAAAGGATCCCTGCTGGGCCGAAGCTGGAAGACAGTTGTCAGGGAGAGATGGTGGTGGCTTGGCCCTGGCCCAGATCCAGGCAGTAGATGGGAAAAGTGGTTGAATCCTAGACATATTTTGAAGAAAAAGTTAACAAATTCTGCTTATACTTGGGGGTGTCAAGAGGAAGAAGATTTGGGAGGGGGGTGGATGGAGGAAAAAAAAAGAATCAAGTGCAGCTTCAAGGTTTCTGGCCTGAACAACTAGAATAATGGAGCTGTCATCTGCCAGACATTAATTTGAACATGAAAACAAGTGGTAATGACTTTTTGAACCATGAACAACATTTGACTTGGATGTTTCAATCAAAAGCTAGGGAAATGGATGCAAGAGACCTAATGCACTCTCATGGGTCAGCAGGAAAAGGACAGACTATAAGACCAGGGACCCGGAGGGAGGTGTAGGTGCAGCACTCCAGGCCAAGGTGGCAAGAGAGGAAAGAACGGAGGTGGGAAGGAAGAGTCAGTGTGGGTCACCCATCCCAGCTAAGGGGTCACCTTGCTATAGGACAGGAGTAACCTTGGAGAGAGGGGCTGGGGCTAGGTGTGGGGTGCTGGCCAGGCAAGCTGACAGGTACACTCATGGAAATCAGTGACAGGCTCTAGCAGCGGTGGGTCGCGACCATTGGAAAACACATATAGCATATCAGATGTTTACATTACGATTCATAACAGTAGTAAATTACAGTTATGGAGTAGCAACGAAAATAATTTTATGGTTGGGGGTCACCACAACATGAGGAACTGTATTAAAGGGTCGCGGCATTAGGAAGGTTGAGAACCACTGCGAGAGTGCTGATTTAGAAAACGTCAACTTCTGGCCTGAAGGATGATAGGACAGTGGCAAGAAGAAAAATTTTAAATGGGTTAAAAGCAGAAAAGGAATATTAAGATAGAGGCCTTAAATCAGAGCGGCCTTGGGAGGAGAAAAAGAAATACTTGGGTGTAAGCTAACTGCGGCTCATAGGAATCTGGTGGATCTGAGAAGCTGGAAACGACCAACTACCTTCAACCAACTTCAAAAACACAGTGTGTTCTCTGTTTTTCATGTCAACAGAAGGATTTACATGCTTACAATTAGCTTTGGCATGGAGAAAAGTACACTGGAGCATGTAAATCTTCATTTCACTCTGGCTGCTATATATACACATTAAGATATTAAAGGCATGCCTTTAAAAACCTTATTTTTAATTTCCCCAGAGTTTGAGCTTAGGAACAATGACTAAGTGAGGCCAACCTCTGAAATTCAATGGGAGAAGTAAAGCCAAATGCTCTATTTTAACTAGTTTCAAAATTATTATTTTCTAGATACCTCAAGGGGGTATCAGGCATTAGTGTATAACAATGATCCTAAGTGCTCAGAGGTAATAAATGGATAACTGGCACAGTAATTTATGTTTAGAAACATGACAGAACTTCATAATCCCAAATTTGCTCTTGGCTTTTTAAGAAATGCTTTGCTGGCTAGTTTTATTTTTCCTTTTCTTTTTTGAACCTGGATTTCATTAAAAAATAAAAACTGACATATTACGTGTCCTTAGATTCCTAAGTTGCTCCAGCGGCCTGTTTCACCCACACAGCCTCTGGTTCCAATAGTGCATGTTCTAGGCCTCAGAGAATAGGTCCAAAAGATAGCGAAGTGAAAGGAGGAGGAGGAAAGTCTTTTCCCCTCCCTTGAGTCAAGAAGCACCCTAAGCATTCGTTTGGAGGAGTGTGTTGAGTCCTAGGTGACGCGCTTCCATGTGTGAGCGCCCCAGCTCCTCCACTGGCTCGGCACTTTCTGGCTACCACGGCAGGACAGGCGATATCCCATTTGGGATTCTGAGGGTTCCAATTTCTTGGGCCCCACGCAATGGACATATCTTTCTCTGAATCAAAACTTCCATTCATTTATTGCATCTATCCAGAGCTCAGTGGAAAGAAAGGCTCTAGCTCTAACCATTCTGTCCACCCCTATCGCCACCAGAATGAATGAAAGGGGGCTTTGTGTCTTTCAGAGACATTTGTGATCAGGTGATATCAAATTTAATTGCTTTGCTACTGCTACCACTATCCTTTTTTTCTCACTTCCATTAAGCCTCACCTTTCTCATTCACAACTTACCTCACTAGTTCTAAATATTATTCGGTAGTTGTAAGGAGATCCATTTTCTTTCATTTCTTCTGGTTTTTCCCTTCGAATGCTCACAGCCACTGGACCAAGATTCTCATCAGCCCCAAAATAGTTCCAGTGTTCTTAAATAAGACAAAACAAAATTAAAATGTGATGTTGTGCTGGACATTTAGATCACTCAGAAATTACTTTATATCAATAAAATGCAAACACACTGAACAAACATCAATATTCTTCGATGTGTTATAAAAACAAGGCCTTGGCTACACAGGTATAGTTTTAGAGCAGGTAACACTGAAGAGAGGTGGCCTGTTGAGTTTCTTTGCTTTTTCTCCCCACTTCTACCATTTAAATAGGCTACACTGTGTGTTCTTCCTTGCCGAAGGGAAAGTTTGTGTCTGAGATATTCAGTTTTTCTTTAAAAACAAAACAAACAAAAATCCCCCAAGTCTATTGAAAACAGAGTTTGAAGACAGAGGGACTCCCCCAAGATTGAAAAAACATTTCCCTGGATTGGAGCAAGAAGGCTGTGCATCACTGAGCAGCACTCTGGTCCCAGGGAGCCCAGGCACGATGGCAAAGATGCTCGGAGAAAACAGCTCCGTCCCAAAGCACTGGGCCTCACCAATGGCTTTTCCATATAGTGAGCACCAATGCATCCCACGAGGCCACTGGACCCGGAGGGCATGTGTGCTCTGGGACAACGGGCCTCTCCTAGGTAACCTGTGTGGCCAGGTGACTTATTATGATTCAGAGAATTCTCTTCAAGACCCCAAACATTAGCAGAACCTTGGGGGAAGTCTCCTTATGACTGATTTACCTTCCTCCTGACAAAAACAAAGGTCAGGATCAAAATTAAATAAATTTACATAAAATTTTTAAAAGTGATTTTTACTATACACCTGTGTATGTGTGCATACACTTCTTTTAAAATTTTAAAAATTGATACATATATGAGATGTTCACAAATGAGGAAGTCCATAAAACACAGAAATATATGAAAAGCTGGAGTAAATAACCCATTTTTCAAACTTCCAAAACACTTACTTTACACCATTCTGTATCATTTACATGTGACATGACTATATGAGTTATGACATGGTATGTTATTCTCATACAAAATGCATAACATTTGAAAATACACATTATTCCCATACAAAATCCCTGAGAATTAGAAATTACAGCATAAAATATCGAATCTGTAGTTTTAAAATTTAGGTAATACATATGAAAATACTTTGCAAGTACTAAAGATCAACTATAAAAGATATAATCATAAATATTGAGGGCTCTTTAAGAAGGTTATCATAATCTATGGAGATTCAAAAAAGAAAAGCACGTGGAAATACAGGAACAAACATCTCATATACAACTGAGAAACAACCCAATAAATGTCACAAAATCTATTTACAAACACTCAGGTACACCCTCAAAGCACAGCTGTGAGAATTACACTCAGGGGTGATTTACTCTTACTTTGCACATAATTTTAATAAGGTTGGCTGTCTGGTCTTCAAGCCCAGAGGTGTGATAATTCCAGATGCTGACAAAGTCCAGAGTGTAGGGCTGATACAGACTTGCATGCAGACAGCAATGTGATGGAACAACTGACAACAAGGAAGAAAACAGAAAGGGAGAAGGCTGAAATAGTATAAGAAAGCAGACAAGAACTTAAAGAATAACAGACAGCAGTCCGGGGCCATTCACACTTCAGTAACTTCAGACGGTAATTTTAAAAAAAAAGGTTTTTTTACTGATTTTAGAGAGAGAGATAACGAGAGGAGGGAGGGAAAGAGAGAAACATCAATGATGAGAGAATCATCCATCGGCTGCCTCTCCCACGCACCCCTACTGGGGATCGAGCCCACAACCCAGGCTTGTGTCCTGACCAGGCGACCTGTTGGCTCATGGACTGACGCTCAACTACTGAGCCACACCAGCCGGGCAAGAAGATAATTTAATACTGCAGCACAGAACGACAGTGGAGGGATCAAGATGAGTGTGAGACATATCCATTACATTCTGCTTCTTGCATGTCTGGGATTCAACTGAAACCCAACTCTCTAGGACTTCTTAATCACACCCAACACATCTCAGAAAGTGCAGGTGAGACTGCTGCCTGTGCTGCAGGGAAATTCATAAATATGTATCTCAGGCCATGGCCAATTCTTTTTCAGCAACTTCAACTCATTCCCAAGCTGTCCCTGACCAGCTCCCCTTCTCCAGAGCAGATATTTCAAACATTCTCCGTTCTCCTTCAACCTTCCCGCACCTGCTTTCTCCCCAATCCCAGCAAATGCTAATGCTGTCTAAATCACAGAGAAAACAAAGAAGCCCCTTCAGAAGCAAATGTCCTCATTTTCCATCCTACTTGCAAACTTACCTGGATCCAGACCTTTGCTTCCTTCTCTTTACAACCCAGAACTCAATCTCACCCTAAATGCTGACCTCCACCCAGTCCACCTTCCCAGGGGCTCTGATGCCTTGACTACCCTCCCTTGACCTTTGACTTCTCCCTCTCTATTCACTGATTTCCATCATCACTTGATCAAGCTCAAGTCTTCTTTATCTTTAAATATAACACACCGGCAACACTTTTATCCTCCTTCAGGAATTCTTGAAAGGGCTGCCTAATTCCTCACCTTAGAATTACTATAATCTGCCTTCCACTGCAGTAACCAATGATAGCCTTAAAGTTAAAAACAAATAGATAGGTTGGGTCCTTATCTCGCTCAAACTCTCCCTAACATTTGCCACAGTGGATCATTTCATTTTTTTTTTTTTCTAGAAACGCTCTTCCTGGCTCTGTGACAGCACTCTATCCTGACTTTCCTTCTATCACTCTGGCTATTGCTCAGTTTCCCTTCCTCTTCTCATCCTGAGTATTCACTCTCAGAACTTCAACTGCCATCTCAATGCTGCTTATGATCAAAAGTCTACATGCTCACTCCAGACCTCTCTGAGCCCTCAATCTCTACATCTCCCTAGTGGAACTCTGTTTGTCCATCCTGTGGACATCTGCAAAAGTGAACCCATCACCTTCCACCAAACCTACGAAGCTCTCCCTGCAGCCTGATTTTTACCGACTGCTACTACATTCACCTCGTTGCTCATGCCAGATTCCGTGTCATGCCTGCAAACTGAAGTTCCTACAGCTCTCTTAAATCTATCTACTTTGTCTCCACCCCTTGGCCACTGACTTCCCCATCACCATTTGCCTGGATGTTTGTAAATCCTCTAACTGGTTTGCTTTTATCCAATTAGTTTAAATAGCAACCAGATGACCCTTGTAGAATGCAAATCTGACCATCACTACTAAGTTTAAAATCCTTCCCAGGGTTTCCCAAGGGCCCTTGCATACTCTCATGGCTTCCCAAAGCCCTCCCAACCTGTCACCAGCCTACCACTCATTTCAACTTAGACCTTTCCATCATCCTCTCAACAGAGGACCTCTGACACGGAACTTCTCTGTTGTTCAAACTCACTCTGCCCTTTCTCACCTAAAAAATTCTACCCAAACATTCTTCCCACAACTCTTTATTTGACCAAGTCCTCTCATCGTCCATGTCTAATCTGAAATATTACTTAGACATCCTCTAAAAGAGTGATTGAGTACTTGAGCACAATGAAAGTGTTTACTTGGTATATTAAAACTAATACTTTATTTCAAAGTGTTAAAATTCATAAAAATACAAACTAGTGAAAACCAAATATTTAACACATTTCAAATACAAAAATTTAAAAATGTTACAACACAAAAATGTAAATTTATAAAAATATAAATATTAAACACAATCATCTTAGTATAAATTATCAGATAAAATAAGTGTTATCTTAAAATGAAACTAAACTCTACATAAAAATGACAACTGTTCATTTTAAAAAAAACAAAAAATTAAAGATCATTTAAATGTTTTTTTTGTGTATGTGTCATCATCAACACTGACTTTTTTTGTGCAATTTTCCCCAGCTGCTTAGGAAGTACATTTCTGAGTTGGGGGAATGGTGATGAGATAATTATACACTAACTTTCTAACACTTTCTTCAGAATCTATCTTTAAACACACTCATCTCTGGTTTGATAACTCTGGGAAGAGCTTTCAAAACTTATGTGTGTTTGTGCAGAAACATCCATCCTTTTTTACTAAAAGAGGACTCTAGCTATTATATCCAAAAAGCATTTCCATTGGTCTTCAACTACTTCAGTTTCATTGGTGTAGAAGAAGATTCTGGGCTGGTTTCCTGTGTTAAATTCACTACTATCATGATTAGACTCTGCTTATTCAAAAAGTCTTTCAACTTGAGTAAGTATTATTCTTACAGTAACCCTTGTTTTGTTTTTGTCCACTCTCTGTTTGCTCCTAACAGACACACAAACACTTGATTTCATTCAAAATCCTAATGTAGTGCAGAGGAGGCTGGTTCAGCAGTCACCTTAGATTGAATTTTCAAGTCCTTAAACTTTGATCTCAAGACAAATGACTCAGATTTTTTTTCTTTAACTAAAACACCAGCCTTTTAGAGATGCCTTCAGTCTGGTCCTTCTGGCCTGTCCCTCGATGTCACTGGCCTGCAGTCCCTTCCCCTCAGACCACAGCCTTTGGGCAGCACTTCTTACCTGCTCCAGGCTGCAGCATTTTTCATTTATTCCTACCAGCCATTTACCTCCTTCCTTCACTAATGGAGCTATCCACCAACTGCAGAGAGCTCTTCCAGCCAGACCCACAATCAGCTCCGCCTTTATGGAAGGGGAAGAGAAGGAGCCGGGACAGGGGAGCCGCAGCTATGAGTATTAAGAAAGGCTGGGAGCCCTGGATGAGAGAATTTGGGAGGATGAAAGCCAGAGGAAGGGAAGAGGAATTGGACGCTCAGGTGGGTAAATCTGCTAATGGATGACTTGAAACGCAGGTTTTACATTATTACATGACCAAAAATAATGAGATTTTAGTGCCAGCATGCTGGAATGCCTCAAACCAATACTGCAATCACTATATTAGATACAATGCAGCAAAGTGAGGCCCTTTGCCAAGCACTCCAATATTCATATCAAACCATGGAAATACAGTATTTCCTTCGTTTTTATAGATATGGAAACTATGATTTAGAGAGAGCAAGCCACTTC